TACTATTATTATTATTATTATTATTATTATTGTTGTTGTTGTTGTTGTTGTTGTTGTTTAAAGGCTTATTGAATCCAGCTTCTTGAAATATTTTAAAAGGTGATAGGATTTAACAATCAGATAATCATATTATGATAACAGCTTACTCATTTATTTCATTATTCAATAATATACTACTAGTACTAACTAATCTGGCAAGTACTAATTAAAATTACAACTTTCCTCCAAAAACAGTCAAACACCCAAAAAGCAGTCTTGTCTGCACATAATCCATAAAATTTGCACCAATTTTACACTTCTAGTTAGTGGGATCAAAGAGTAAGAATATTCAATATCTATAATAATAAAAAGATATAATATTGTATTAATAAATACTGGTCACAAAAAGAAAAAGACAAACCTGTTCAGCACATCTCATGGCAAACATTCTAGAATCCACGTAGGTGTCCTTAGGGATAATCTTCCTATTGGCCGAGATAATTAAATAAAAAATGAAGATCAGTAATCTTTACACTGTACCTGGCAATCAAGATCAGAGGCATGCAAACAATGGGACAACCTGTACAACACTGGTGGAAAGCCAAGAAATTGACGTAGGATCTTTGAGAATCTTACAAGATCTTTAGGACATACCAAAGATCCTTAAAGATGGAGATTAGGTCTTCTAAATAGACCTTTGAAAGATTTTCATTGGCAGAAGATAAACCTTGCAAAATACATATTGTATCTTTGCAAGCATCCTCTTATAATTTACAAGATCCATAAGCTAATTAAAACCTTTGAAGATTTAAGGATCTTGATCGTGATCTTTCAAGATCCTGAAAAGAATTTTAAAGATCCTTAAACAAACATCTTTTGACCAGGTTCTTTGAAGATCTTTGATCCACAATAAGATGCTTATGAAGATCGAGCTTACCCTTAGGGATCCTTGGAAAATTTTAACCAGAGTGGTTGAAAGACAAGAAGAATGCCTACACAGCTATTAAATTAAATTCAACTTACACATGTTTCAGTTCCTTCACTATCCACTCCACTCTTGTTGTCTTCTGTTGTTGGGTAAGCCTGATAAAATATAAGAAAAAGAGATCCATCTTCAAATGAAAGAAAACAATTGGATGATGATCAATATTTCAGTCCATGACTGACTGTGTCACAAGACAGTCAGAAAATAAGTAGGTAAAGGGTAAAGTGTGCATATGTATGTGTAGAAGCCAACATGGCCCATCAGGACTGAGCTTATTCCAGTTTCTGACTAGCATGAAGCAGCTAGGAGTATTTCTACTCCCTCCTGGTTGGGATGCTAGTCCATCACTGGGTTACCCCCAGCATTAAATTTTCTGCCACCAGTTTATGCACCTGGATGGAGAGAGGCACTGTGAGAGTAAAGGGCCAGGGCTCAAACCCAGACTGCTCAATCCAGAGACAAGCACACTTTATGTCAGGCCATTGCGCCAGTAAGAAGACACTTTGAGTCATAAAAAGAGAATGACCAGTGACAAATGACAACCCAAGATGTAATCCTCAACATAAAATGAAATAAAAAATAGTACAAATTATTAGCAAATTCAGTATTTTGTATTTAAAAATTAGTTTTATTTGCTCAAAATTTCTTAGTCTAACAGCTTTTAGCAATATTCAAGTTCACTTACCCATCAAAACTTTGCAGTTTCTCCAATGGTTTGCCAGTTAAACCTAGTGGAAAGGTTCAAAGGTTCAAAATTTGAAAAGAAAAGAGAAGTGGCAATGTCTCCATTGCAGGTGTTTGTACAGTTTAGCTAAAAACTTTTAACCCTCCCAGACTATCCTGCAGAACTTATTCAAAGATTGTCAGCAGTACCGTATTTCACCTTCACCTTGGGCTGACACCTTGCCGTGGTGGTGAAGCTTGTGTGTCTCCATGACCCGGAGAGCTGTG